ATAGTGGGATTGACCGTCATATTATAACGCCCCCACAGCTGAAAGGGCGAGCATGTTTGGTGTGACGGGGATTCGAACCCGCGACCCAAAGATTGCGAGTCCCTCTTCGGGTATATCAGCAGTAAAAGTTTTTGTCGAAATCTCTCACAGAGATGAAGTATATTTTCCATCTTCTAAAATAAAAGAAAAAAATGCTAATAAATAAAGCAATTCTGTGAAAAAGATAACGTAATAAAAATATAAAAAAGTAATTAACAGTTGTTAAGTAAATTAATCTCTGAAAACACGACGAATTACGGATTTGTTAAAAATAATAAGTATTCACACAAGGATTGTTATCCTAACTGCTGCCTGTGTTTTCATGCGTTAGTTTATTGCATATGGATTAACTAAATATTTTGTTTATAAAATATACTTTTATTATCTATCTAATTACTAATACAACACATCCAAATATTCCACCAGCACGTAATACAGGTGTTGTTTTCAATTTAATAACACGTTACTGACACACACGTTGGTTAAACGGCCTAGTTAGTGTTACTTGTGATATCTGTAAATCACTTGAAATTTTTATTATAAATTTATCCAATATTTGGGACTCGTGAATAGAAGTTAAACCTGATGAAAAATGTATCCCCATTGCTGCTTCGGTTCAATACCAACAGATGTCTCTCCTATTAGGATACACTATACTGCATCGTAGGTACAAATCTATTTGTTTAATTTCTTGTTATTACCCTCAGTGGCACAGCGGTATGTCTGCGGACTTACAACGCTAGAATCCGGGTTTCGATACTCCTGGTAGATAGCCCATTATGTAGATTTGTGCTTAATTACAAACAATCCTTGTTATTTTATACTATTTACTCAAAAATATAGATAAATAAATATATTTTTTACCTCTATCCTATTTTTCTTTGTCTTCATCGTTCGTAACAGATTCCTGAAAAACAGACAATACAATAACTTTTTCCACTAATCTCTAATAGAAACAAATATTTGATAAAACTTACAAGCAGGTTGCTCACGATCTGGGAAAACTGATCATAAAATGTTCGTTAGATTTAATTAAATATTTTTTCCACGTTCAAACTTCTAACTTGCACGATGAAAAAAAAAGTTGACAACGTAAAACTTTCAAAAAAAGCAGTATTACAAGAAATGCTGTGAAATTTTGTGGAAACAAAGGTTTCCGAATACACTCTGTGCGTTACTTTTAAAACAGTTTCGATAAAATTTAAAAGCATCGCACAGAGTGTATAGGGAACCACCCCGAAATTTCACCAGACTTCTTTTTTCAACTTCTGCTACAGTTAGGAAAATATCAGCATGAAAATCAGTTTTCAATCCGACCGAGTCAGTGAAAGCTTCGTAAGTTTACAGACAAATATTTAGTAAAACTACTATATTAAAAACCTAATTCTTTCTGTACAACAGACTTGTAATGTTTACTAAAAGCTTGTCAAATTTCGTGAAAATGGACTTAACACATTCTGAGTTATAGAATGTGTGGTTTCATGGTTACATGGTGGCTACAGGGTTAGTCTAATAAAATATGCATGGGGCCTTTTTTTAGGGAAATAAAATTCTCTGGAACTTATTAAATATTATTCACCAATAACTCAGATGGTTAAATTAGGCTTAATCGTATCTTTGTACATAAAACTTTACTACAAAACTACATACACTTACTTAAGGATTTTTGTGGTTTGATATTGGATTGACTTTAAAATCCAACTTAAGTGTTGGTAGATGTTGGTTTGGCCTCATATAGCATTACTGTATCCGGGTAGTTAATTCAGTAAATGAAATGGCAATTTCTTCTGTTTGTATCACTTCTGGTCTAACCCTACAACATGTTAAACCTAGCTATGTGTATTGAAGTATTACTGAGGTGTTGGCTTACCACTTCTTGTCAACCTACACAACAATTAAAACCAGCAGTGTGTGTTGAAGTATGGCTTACCACTTCTCATCAGCTGTATACAACAGTTAAAACTAGCTATGTGTGTTGAGGTATTGGTGAGGTGTTGGTTTATCACTTCTTGTCAACCGCACAAATTATCATAGAGTAGGTAGACTCTATGTGTAGGGATGGCCAAGGCTTAATACAAATATTCAAGCTAAAAATTCAACAATGATAGAGATTTTTACTTTAAAAGATGATTGTCACAGATTTTCATTTGTTTCTCTATCCAACAAGCCTAAAACAAGGCAAGAAACCAACCCACCAAATTATTCATCTTTCTAATTCTTGTTTCAGTCGAGATAACTCTACAACTACTTTATCACTAACCTAAATCCACTAAGTGTTTCCGATATCATCGTTTAGTTATAATAGCTAGTAGTAATTAAAAAATTAAAATCACAATTCTAGTCTAAATGGTGATATAATTACTACTTGAAGTTAACTTTTATTTATAGAAATCTGGTGTTCCTTTAAAAATCTTAAGTACAGGGTGAAACAGGAATTACCAGCCGATAATATATGAACATTAGATGACTTTAACATGTAGAATATTTAATGCTTTGTACACTATACAATCGGTGTCTTTAGGAAGCCAAAACCTATATTATGTATGAAGTGAAGGAGTAAAAAACAAACAAACCAACACACACAGTATTAAGTGTTATCAAACATATTGAGAGAATACATTAACTTTCAGTAAGGTGGAAAAAACGTCACAAAAGAAGTAATAAAAAACATTTTATTGCAAAATGTGTAGGGATGACAGTGTCAAAAAGAATGCAAACATAAAATATAGGGATGATACAGCTATATATAAATCATCCCTACATGACTTTCAATATTAAAATTTAATGTTGTACTGTAAAATGCATACTTGACTTTAATATTACTGTAGTTGGAAGTTGTATATATATTCCTGACTGTTGATATGCAGTTTGTTTATCATAATATGAAGGTCATATCAGGGTAGGCATCAACGTAGTGTAACTAAGACCCTAGGACTTACGTACAAGGAAAAACAAGTTGAGTCAAACATGTCTTGATTATTGCAGGTTGGTCGAATTGACCGACCTCGTAACCATTTTGTACTCGTGCATTTTACAGTGTAACTTTAAATTTGAATATTGAAAGTTATGTAGGAATGATCACATATAAAGCTGTATCGTACCTATATTCTTGTTTGCATTCTTTTTGGCACTGCCATCCTC